CCCCAAAACCCCAAAACCCCGCTGATGAATATTGAAGTTTAACATCTAAGTATTAATTGGACATCAATTCTATTTAAACAAAAAATATTATTAATAAATACTTAAATTAAGGCTAATAATTAGTTGAAATGGACTAAGTGAAATCCTGGGCAACTCAAGAACTAAAAAATCTTAGTGGTTTCTTAGCAGAGGATGAGGCTAAAGGATTAATGTATTTTAATTGATTTAAATAAACTTTTAGAGATGTACTTGCTACTAAATCTCCTGCCGAGATTAACTAGGAACTATCAAATTTGTTGGACTTCACTCAGCAATAGGTGAAAAAGTTCATCAATAGCTTCCTTGAAAGGATAGCTAATCAGAAAAATTATGAATAGCAGGTCAAATAGCTGCAGCAAAAAACTAATAAAATGAGTAAGGATGAGGTCACTGGTTAAAGAATAAATACACAGAAGATTACTAAGCAAGTCAAAGACATGTCTAAATTTTTAGTATCTGGTAGGCAGATTTGCTATTGCTAGGCTTCTAGGCACAATCTTATCAATAATTGTATATCTTGCGGTAAAGTAGTATGCGAGCAAGAAGGTGAAGGGCCTTGCCTATTCTGTGGAGCATGGGTTGATAGAGAAGTTTATTATGATATTGATGAAGATTCTGCTACTGCCTATGAAATCGCTCTTTAGCATAAGGATAAGCTTATTGAGTTTGATGTAAATGCAGCCTAAAGACTAGGAGTGCTTGATGCTTAAAGTGATTGGTATGACTTAGCCAACAATACTTGGCTAAATAAAGAGTAGAGGAAGTATGCTGAGTAAATGCAAGAGGTGGAGAAAAAAAGATAAGAAGAGATAGATAGCAAAATGAATGTGACGATCGATCTTCAGAAAGGAACAACAGATTTAGTATCTAATGAGTAAGATAAGCTTTTCACATTTGGAAATCAAAACATTTAAACTAATGAATATCTCTCCAAGACAACAGGTGTAAATAAAACGTAAGGAAGCAAGTACAAGCCATTTGAAGGAGAAGACCTAACCAATAAGCTACTGTTAGAAAATCCCCAAATGGCAATTGATAACATTAATACCTTTTACTTCAAACCTTGTACATTGAGTGATGAAAAATCATAATTGCTTTATCAAGAACTATAGCCAAGCTACATGAAAGAAGTATAGACAAATATAGTTGGCTCAAAAGTAAATAAAAAGGCTTAGTAAGATAGAGAAGATAATTACCAAGAAGAACAGAGACAAAAGTAAATAGAAGAGTCTGCAAAGTAGAAATTTCAATATAGCTCTTTATCAAAGAGGTTGCAAACAGAAAACCCATTTGACATATTCAGAAAGGCTGTTGAAACCGCAATCATAAGCAAGTCTATCAGCACAAACAAAAAGGTCTTTGAAACAGACAAAGATTTCTTTAAAGAATCAGAAGATATTGGAATGTGTATGTCCATGCATTAACCCTGGGCATCTTTATTGGTTATGGGAATCAAAAGATTTGAGGGAAGAGAATGGACTCATAAATTTAGAGGGCCACTTTGGATTCATGCTACATCACAAAAGCCAACTCAAGAGCTAATTGATCAAATCGAAGGAAGTTATAGAGAATTTTATAAATCTATTGGTGAAGATCTACCTCCTTTCCCAGATAGATATCTGACATCAGTTGTTATCGGAAGAGTTGATGTGATTGACATAATCAGCTTGGAAGAATATCATGATTAAGTGCCTAAAGAATTGCAGGAACCCACTGTATCTGAATATCAATTTATTTGCAGAAATCCTATGTATCTAGATCTTCCACTTAAGATGTCCGGTTAACCAGGGATATATAAGATGGAAAAGGGTATTTTCTATGGCTGCAAAGAGCTACTAATAAAAACACCCGTAACATGGTGGCCTCCTGAAGAATTTAAGTTGTACAATTTAGGCAGATTTGATCTTTACCCTTTGAAGCACTAAATTAATCCACAGGACTAAATACAGAAGTTACCCATGAAAGTTTCTAAAACAAACCTTGGATGCTTTCATATTTAGAACTTATTGAGTTTGAGGGAATAACAATAGATATTAGACAGTCTTAGAAATCAGTAGATCAACTAACCATAAAAATACAAATTTACCAGAAGTGAAACATTAGCTAATGAAGAGGAGATTAAGAAGGAAGAGGACTCATTCTCCTACCTCTAAGATGAAAAGAATAACTTTGCCTAAGAGAGGAACAAGAAAAAATTCAACTGCTATGTTATGGAGCTCTCTGGCAGAGATGTTACTGATGAAGTTAAAAATTTAATGAATGCTGTTGAGGATGGTGTCAACTAACTTAAAGATTAATCTCAGAGCACTTTGGTCAAATCAGTATATAAAAGATTTACCTTTGATTTCTTTAAAGAGAGCCCTGATACTTACATGGAGAAGATTAAGTTATTCCTTCCTCAATAGAAAGCTAAAAAGAAGGGCAAAAATCAACCTTTAATAAATGCATTCTTTATTTGTGTTGGTGATGGAATTAAAATTGATTACAATATTGAGGAAGATAGCAAGTCTTATAACTATTCAATTGAATTAAAGAGCGGAGATGCTTTCGTAGTCAGTTCTGAAGTTAAAGGTATGTAATTGAGTGTTGAGTAGATTGTGGAGAAAACTAAGCCCAGCAATCTAGTTTTAAGAGATGGTACGCTACTGATCACAGTTGAGAGAGATTGAGAAAAAATCTTTCGATTATTACTATAAATAATCTTGATTTCATAATGTAATATCGCAACATATATATTTCTCAATGGGGTTTTGGGGTTTTGGGGTTTTGGGG